ACTCCACTCCACTCCACTCCACTCCACTCCACTCCACTCCACTCCACACTCACTGGTTGTCCATGCGTTTCCCCGCGTTTTGTTCGCTGTTGAGGCGATGGCAGCGTTTTTGCTTAGCGTAAACCCAACTCAGCTCACACCATTTCATCTCACACCAACTCATCTCACTGACATACTGGCCCGATAGCGGGGTGGGGGTGTTTGTTGTCTCAATTGGGGGGAGGATTATTACAAGAACTGGGGGCGGGGTTGTTATCCCATTTGGGGGGAATATTAGAGGAATGGGGGGGGTAGTAAAGAAAATAGTCTTCCCAATTCATTTTTCTTTAGCCATTGTCACATCCTTCTTGTAGCACAGGTTTTGGTTAAAATCCGTCTCGTAGCACAGATTTGGGTTAAAATCCTTCTCGTAGCACAGATTTGGGTTAAAACCCTTCTCGTAGCACAGGTTTCCTTTGAACGCCTTTTGGTAGCACAGTTTTCTTTACAAGGCTACTCGTAGCACAGGCTTCCTTTAAGAGCTTTTTCGTAGCACAGGTTTTCCTTTCAAAGGCTTTTCGGGTTTAGGGTCAAAACCTGGAGTTTGACGGTCGTCAGATTTTGGTTAAATTCTAGTATAACTATTTTCAATGGCGAACGGCCCGGTTCCTGGCAAATCCTAGGGTGGGCACGGTGGGCCCCACGGCCGGCTTTCGGTAGTACAGGTTTGATTAAATGCATTCTCGTAGCACAGGTTTTGGTTAATTTGTTGGGCAAAACTAGATGTGACGTACCCACGGAACAATCCCCCCCGGCCCGCCTATCGGGCCGGTCTGCTCACTGACCCACTCACTTGCTCACTCCCTCACGACAAAAGCAAGTTCACCATCATAGCTTGAATCATCCGCTCATCATCCGGATGCGTTCATCCGCTATCATTCCTGTTTCTTCCGCTGTTGCCTCCACTTGTCATGAACGCAAAAACATCATATGAATATGTGGGTGGGGTTTATCCGGTCCTTTTTTTTTCCTACGCAAAGCTAAAGAAAACATTCTTGGCTACTTAAGGTGCTTTCGGATGTGATTCGGGTAGCAATGTCCAAGACCCAGGGCACCGAGGTTGGGGCACCGATCACGGCGCCCGGAGACAGACGACAGCCGTTGCGTACCGCTGTGTGAGCCGTTGCCATTGCCGTTGCGTGGAAAGGTAAGAACCAAATGGCTCGAAGGCGGACCAGCTACGAGCTCAGGAAGTTGTGGCCTTTGTTTCGTGTGCAACGAATCAGGTCGACAGAATCCGGCACTTGACTCAACGTTTGAGGTGTTACCACCCTTCCTCAGCACCATGGAAGAGGCGAAGGCCAGGGGTTCCAACAGTCAGACTGATGTGACAATGCTGCGCCATAGGCTCAGTCTTCCACATGCACATCAATTCAATAATTGTCACTTCGAACTTGCAATTCCAATGCCCATAAACCAGTTGGAGAAAACCACCATAGCCCTTCTAGTGTAGCTTGGTTAGGACACAGATGGACACACCATTCGGTGATGTAATCAAATGAATAGTCTGTCAGTGACTTCTAAGCCTTTGGCAGCATTTAGAGGCACATGACCCAGACCTTACTGTGCGTTATGCACTGAGCGCGTTCGAGGAGCCTGCATGTTTTCCTTTTTTTTTGCCGTGTGTATAAAGGCTATGTTGGTCTCAATATGTGTGTGCTTGCTTCAGCATGCTTCAGCCCTCCCTTGACTTCTTGCATCCACATCGCCTCAAATTCCAATCGCCTCAGCTGGATGAGCTGTGTGCGGTTCGCATCAGACAGCGACCTTTGAGGACCTGAACAGTGCCATTAAGAATTTGCGCAGATGCTTCGGTTTCCCCTACCAGGAGTACATCGGGTGTGGAGCTCAAAAGGGTTCAGCTCACCATCCGTCCCAAACCGGCCGAGTCGGTGCTCCAAGGTACATGAACACACTCACTCATCAGTACCGGACTCGCAGCGAACATGAGGCTGGTAGTCACTGGAGTTCACCGGACAAACGTCACTGGAGTTCAACATGAACAAACCCCACCTCGTTACTACTAGCTTTTTGTTACTGGTAGCGATGCCAGGAGCTACTAGTAGCGTCCTTGCTCCTAGTAGCGATGTGCCTTGTTACCATTCAGTTCACTGAACTTCATTTGTTCGAATATGTCGTCATTTGTTCTGTTTTCAGGGGTTGATTGACCGCATCCGTCGCTGGGCGATGTTCGGCAATGTCGGTGTCCCAGCGCTGGGCAGCAATTTCGAATCCGTGTGTCTCTCGGGAGCCGATGGGGAGTGGTGATTTGGTGATGGCGAAGTGCACCGATTGGGAGAAACATGGAATATCTATCACTTTGTTCGCCCTGATTGGGCTCTACTTGGGGGAAGTGGGAGAGATTCGGAGTTCAACAGAAGGTTCAGGACAAGAAACCAGGCCTATGGCCTATGGAGGACAAGGGCTGGACTGGGAAGCCGAGGAGTTGCCTGAATGCAACAGCATTATTTTTGCACTGCTGGGGACAGTGCAGAAGTCCTTCCATGGGCGAAAAAGTGTCAGAAGCACCAAAGTGTCAGTCGTTTTTGGTTTGATTTGAGATGTGGGATCTCCACAACATTATTGCATTTTTGGAGGCGTTTTAGAGCTCTGTCCACTAACACCAGCACTTTCCAGTTTGGCAAAGACTGTGACCTCCAATAAGGTTGATGCAGTGCTTTGGATCGACTATGCCAAAGCGGGATGCGTCAGAATCTGTTGGATCGATGAACCAAAGTCCTAAAGATCAAGATTGGGATTTGCGCGGCAGCAACAGATCATATTCACTTTTATTTCGTTATGGCCTCCAACCTAACTTTTCTTTATCAATGCCCTTTACACCGACCATGGTGCCGTTCGTGGTGCACCGTTTGCCCAGGCGAATCAGCCACCGGGCTCCTTCAAGATGGGCCCTCGCGAGTCACGGCCCTTTGGCCCCGGGCATTTGCAGGCAGGACTTCCCCGCCGTGGGGGTACCACCGGAGGCACCGGGTGGTGGAAGGTGTTTTGATTGGTAGTATATATATATATATAATAGTGTCAATTGGCCATGTCTGCCACCAGTCACTCGCAGGGCTGTCGTGCACTTCCATTCGTCCGAAGGCCATTTCGCGACTCGAGGCATCGCAGGAAAAAGGCCGCCTGGTCCGCAGGGTCGGACACCTTGGTAGGTGTTTTGTGATTGGTAGCGGAGCCGGTCGAAAGGGACCGGCTCCGGGTAGGATCCCTGAGTTGCGCCATGTCTGCCGCTGCTCCTTTCGACCCTGGAGGTGGAAACAATAGGGTATTCACTGGTGATGATGAAGATGCCAAGGAATATCGGAGATGGAAGATTTGGACTGCCAACAAGTTGCTGACGCTCAGCGACAAAGTGCCCGCCACGGCTCGTGGCGCCTACGTATACACGTTGTTGGGTGGAAAGGCCTTGGAGGCCGTGGAGCATTTGGAACCATCCTCCTATCAGAAGGAGGGTGGCGAGAAGGTGCTGTTCGAACTCCTGGATCGTCGTTTTCCTCAAAAGGAGGCTTCGGATGAGCTCAGCGAGAACTTGACCCGGATCTTCGAGCTACGAGCTCACGAAGGAGAATCCCTCAAGTCATGGGTCAGTCGAGCTTCAGAGGCTTTTGACAACCTGCAGCGCAAGACGAACGTCTCCTTTCCGGAGGAGGCTAGAGGATGGCTCATCCTCCATCGTTCAGGCCTCAATGCTGAACAGGTTGCCGTCGTTTTGGCCAGATCGCTGGGAGTGCTTAAGCGTGAAGAAGTTGGAAAGGCAATGCGTAGCTGTTATCCCAATTTTTCCGCGCCCAAGCGCCGTGTTGCAAGCGCTGCCCTGGTTTCCGAAGAAACCCTGCTGGCTGATATGTTGGAGGATGACGAGAACGGTCAGGACCCGTCGTTTGAGGACGTTGAACTCCTGTTGGCTGATGACACTACGGCCGATGATGGAGAACCCGATGACGTGTTTGACGAACGTGACATCAAGGAGACCTTGGCTGTCACTTGGCAGGAGAAACGGAAAAGCCTGGCTCGATTGCAGAAGGATCGTAAGTTCCATGATGCTGGCCACCTTCGACGACAGTTCAGAGTTGAAGTGGAGGAGCTCAAACGTCGTACAAGATGCCACAAGTGTGGCCAGGTGGGACACTGGTCCAAAGAGTGCCGCAATTCGAGCAAGGGCTCAAAAGGAAAAGGCAAAGGTCATGGTAAAGCCCCAGCAACCTCCAGTGAGTCGGGAGCTGCTCTGGTCGAACATTTTGTTGCCATGGTGATTCCAGAGTTGACATTGCTTCAACGTGTACGAGCTCTTCATTCTCCACTCGCTAGAGAACCTCCTCAGGAGCTGCTCTTAGTGTCCAGTCCAGGATATGGTATCCTGGATTCTGGGTGTGGTCGTTCCATTGTGGGAGAGGATACACTGAGCGAGTTCCGTGAGTTGTGGAAAGCCCATGGTTTTGTCGACCCTGAGCCTATTCAAGAGCTGAACCATTTCCGGTTTGGGAATGGTGCCCAGGAAACTTCGCATCAAGTGATCCCCATGCCGGTCGTGTTGGGAGGTCGTTCGGGAGTGATCAAAGCAGCCCTTGTGAAAGGTCGTGCTCCCCTGTTGATCTCTCGGAAAGCCCTGATGACGCTTCAGGCCAAGATTGACTTTCAGAAGGCCGAACTCACCCTCTTTTCGGATGAAGTCAAAGTTCCTCTTCAGACCAACACCGCTGGCCAGTTCATTGTAAACCTGTTGGGTGACAAGACTCCTCATGAAGCATCCTTTGAGGAAGTCATGGAGACACATGTAGTGCCACCGGCTGAGCAGCCGTCTCTTGATGCCCCGGAGTCTGATCCACCGACAGCTGATCAGACGCCCATGGATGAGCCTCTCACCTCAGGACACCTGTCGATTTGGTCTCGTATCGACGATGGATTGAAATTTGCACCACTCTCCGGTAAGCAAGGTCCTAGTTGGAGCCAGGTCGTCCGTCGCCGGGTCACCGATTTCGTGTCTGGAGAAGTCATTCTTGATCAACAGATAGAACACCATAAGGGCAAGAACCAATATCACACGTTGATTCCACCACAGCACGTTCGAGTGAAGACCGAGTTCTTTTTCCGGCCACAGGAGAAGATGTGCCCTACTGAGTGTCTGCCGGTTCATCACCTGCGACAACTGAGATCTCAGGTGAAGTGCACGAACGCATGTCCAGCTACCATGATCAAGGGTCGCCGATTCGTTGTAGCCGAAGTTTTCAGTCCACCTCGATTTGCACCTGTCGCCCAAGAGTTTGGTTTCCACGCGACATCATATGATCTGATAACCGGATATGACTTTACTAAGAAAGAGCATCGCGACTTGGTCCAAGAAGAGCTGGACATCTCACCACCCGACCTGTTGGTCCTGTGTCCGCCTTGCACTCATGAGGGAGGATGGTGGCATCTCAATGCCGCTAAGCTGCCTCCGCATCTAGTTCTGAAGCTGAGGATGCGAAGCCGGATGTTCATCAAGTTTTGTCTGGAGCTGTTTGAACAACAGGTGTCTAAGGGTAGATTCGCTATGTTCGAGCACCCCCTTGGATCTCAAGTTTGGACTCTACCTGACATGAAGTTGTTGAACCGATTCTATTCGACCAAGTTGCACATGTGTCGATATGGTATGAGGATGCCCCACCATGATTGTTTCATCCGGAAACCCACTCGTCTTTTGATCAGTCATCGGAACATGGAGTCTTTAGGGCTGGTTTGTCCAGGAAAGCAACATCGTCAACATGCATGTCATGATGTGATTGCCGGTTCAGCAGTTGGGGTGGGTTCCATTAGCAAGTTTGCAGGTCAATATCCCCCAGCCTTTGTTGAGAGTGTCCTTCGAACCATTCCTGCTTTTGCAAGGGTCTGGGAAGCATCCTTAGTGCAGTGTGGAGATGAATCGTTCTCACACGTGGTTGAAGAATGCCTGGCGGCCCACCGCGAGGATCTGACACGACCGGAGGTCGAGGACGCTCGAGTGAATGGTGCCCTGATGAAATTACACAAGAACCTAGGACACCCGTCCAACACTGACTTGGTTCGAATCCTTCGTCATGGTCAGGCTTCGCAGAAGGCCATAGCCATGGCCCGGGATCTGATGTGCGATTTTTGCAAGGCTCACATCAAGCCTCATGTGCCGCTTCCAGCACAGTCAGGTCGCATCACTCAATTCAACCAGTTAGTCGGGGTGGACGTGAAGTACCTCCCAGGTTGGTTGCCTAACCAAAAGATCAAGTCTGTTAACATGGTTGATCAGGGGTCGTGCTTTCAACAGATTGTTCCCTTCTTTGAGCAAGAGACATCAATGTTGATTGGCAAGATCTTTGCCGAAGCCTGGGTCCGCTGGGCCGGACCTCCGGAGTCTGTGATCGTCGATCCTGCACAAACCATGTTAGGTGAAGCATTCCAATCGTATCTAGAGTCCATGGGAACCCACTGCAAGGTCATTGCTGCCGAAGCACACTGGCAATTAGGACGCACTGAGAATCATGGAGGTTGGTTTGGTAGGATTCTGCAAAAGATGATTGATGAACATTCGCCCTCAAACAAAGAAGAATGGTTGGAGTGTGTTCGCCATGCACATGTGAAAAACCAGTCCATTCAGTCGTATGGATTTACACCATTTCAACATGTGTTCGGCAAGAATCCAAACCTTCCTGGGGACTTGATGTCCGAACCTCTTCACATTGTTCCGGCCACCGTGGGTCTTCATGAGGAAGCCATAGCTCGCGCACAAGCGCTGCGTCGGTCGGCTCGCATGGCCGTAGTAGCTCTCCAGGATGACAAAGCAGTTCGCGCTGCCATGTCCGGTCGCCCTAGGATGGTCATGGAATTCAAAGCCGGTGAACTGGTTGCCTATTGGCGTCAACAGAAGGTCATTCAGGGGACGGTTCAACAAGGGGGTAGATGGCATGGCACCGCAGTTGTCATCGGCATGGTAGGCAGAAATGTGATTGTCGCCCACCGGAAACAGATTTTTAGGTGTGCCCCTGAACAACTCCGACCGGCAACCTCCGAAGAGCGTACCATGATTGAATCACCTGAAGCTGAATTGTTAGGTATCAAGGACTTGATTGAGGGTGGAACTTTCAAAAGCAAGCAGTATATAGATCTAGTGCCGTCCGGATATCCTCCTTGTGGGGTTGAGTTGCCGGACCCATCAGGGCGTCCTGTGGCGTCTCAAGTGCACGAGTCGGCTGAGCCGAGCCAAGATCCTGGTCCCTTCGAGATCTCTTCTCCGGGAAGCAATGTAGACATGCGTGTCACAAAACCGCATGATGCCGAGCATGAGCCAGAATCTCAGGTCAAAGACCGTGCAATTGAGCCATATGTGAATCCTAAGTCCCTACCATATGTCCCGGAAGAGGAATCCTCGTATGGTCCAGTGCGGCGTAGAGTCTCCACCAAGTCTCAATCGTCTTCACTGTTTCGGCCACCAGCGATGCTAGCGGATGATTTTTCAGAGTTGATGAAAGACCTCGTGCCATCCCTTATCGAGAATGCCATTTCGAGTGAACAGGGAACATCAAGCAGTTCCGCTTCATCCGCGGCCGGAGTCAAGCGTGATCGTGAAGACGATGTGACACCCATTGAAGAACCACCGGCTCAACGTGCACGGAATGTGGATTCGGAAGTGCTGTCGATCGAGGAAGTCGCCGATGCTTGGAATGATGGCATTGAAACCCTCATTGCTGCTCACATCCAAAAGAAGCTCAGTAAAGAACTCCCTCCTCATGGCAACCCACCAGAACTTCAAGCTTTGGTGGATGAATCCAAGGTAGCTGAATGGGGAACCCTCGAAGAAAAAACCGCCATCAAGATCCATTATGGGAAAAAGGCACAAGAGTTGAAGCGTCGCTTTCCAGATAGGTTTATTGGATCTCGGTTCGTAATCATTAGAAAGGCGGCTGAAGAGGGGATCGTCATCGATCCTCTCAATCCCTCGACCTACCGTGTGAAGAGTCGTTGGTGTCTTCAGGGCCATTTGGACCCAGATCTCGATGAGAAGGCTTCAACCGGATTGCTTCAGTCTCCCACCTTGTCCCAGATGAGCCGTATGCTAATCATGCAAGTGTTAGCCTCGCATGGGTGGGTCCTTCAGCTCGGAGACATAAAAGGCGCCTTCATGGAGGCCGGTGAACTTCCTCAGAAATTCAGGCCTCTATTCGCATCCACGCCCAAAGGTGGAATCCCCGGAGTGCCAGCAGATGCCGTGATAGAGGTGATTGGAAACGTCTACGGCCAGAATGACGCGCCAAGCGCGTGGTACCGCACGTTCGATTCTGAGGCTCAACAGGCGGGTTGGATCAAGTCAAAATTTGATTCTTGCCTCTATACCCTTAGAGATCCAAAGAACGATTCCTTGTGTGGTGTCATGGGAGTGCATGTTGATGATACCGCCGTAGGTGGTTCAGGTCCCCTGTTCGATTCGGCTGTTCAGAAACTGAAGGCTCGATTTCCCTACCGAAAGTGGCGTATGGGGGAAGGTGAGTTCTGTGGTGCATACTACCGACAGGATCCCAACACCAAGGGTATTTCGACGTCTCAACAGCAGTTTGCCGAGTCCATGCGTAGTGCCTCAATCCCAAAGGGAGCTGGAAATCAAGCTCTGTTGACAGAGAGCCAGGTCAGGTTGCTGCGAGGAATAAACGGTAGCCTCAACTGGCTTTCTTCTCAATCTCGACCTGATCTTGCAGTCCAGACAAGTCTAAGTCAGCAGTGTTTCCCGAAACCGACCATTCGTCATCTGAGAGACGCCAACAATGCTATCCGACGGGCAAAACAACATAAAGACTTGTGCATCTATTTTGCTCCTGTTCCTCCCTGTGATCTGACCCTGTGCTGTCATTCCGACGCGGCTTTTGCCAATGTTGGTGCTCATACCCAAGCCGGGTATGTGATAGCGTTTTGCAATCAAAACCTCAACGAGGGACAAGTCTCCTCGTGGTCTCCGGCCGTGTGGAAGAGCTACAAGCTCAGCAGGGCGGTCAGTTCGACGCTCGGAGGAGAAGCCCAAGCCATGTCTGCAGCTTCGGGTACAGTGGAATGGGTGTGTTTGTTGCTAGCTGAAACCTTGGATGGTCCCTTTCAACCATTAGAGAGTAGACAGATCATGAGTAGGCGACCCCCAATCCTCATGACCGACTGTAAGTCTCTGTATGATCATCTGATTAGCCCATCAGCCCCCACAGCAATTGAAGATCGTAGAACCAGCATCGATGTAGTTATCATCAGAGAGTCTCTTAAAAACACCCAAGGTATCATCCGATGGCTCCCTACTGATAGAATGTTGGCAGATGCTTTGACAAAAGACAAAGCGGACCCGGCCGATCTGCTGAGATCATGCATCCGCGCTGCCTGTTACCAGGTTTCTCCAGAAAGTCTGATCCTAGAGCAACAAGCCGAGGAAAGAAGGAGACGCCAGCAACTGCGCCAGTCCCAGGACCAGGATAACCCGGTCCTAAAGGATAATTAAGTTAGATGTAAAGATACAATACTTGCTAGAGTATCGGTGCTTGCAACATTCGTTGTTTCTCCCAACTGAGTGTCATTTGCTGTTTTTGGACGTGCTCGTTTTGTCTAGGGCCTGTTACTCAAGTGCCGAAGGGAAACTCTGTTCTCAAGTGATTGTGCACATCGTCTTGCATGTTTTTGACGTTAATGTATCGCTCGTAGCTGTTCTTCGAAGCTCAAGGGTGTGTTTCGAAATCTCGTGACCCACTGTGACTGAGGGCCATGCCATTGAATGAGGCTGAGAGTCGCCAGCTCCAACTTCTGTTGGCCAAAGCGAACGAACCCAATGTCGGAGCCGAGGATGGTGATTTCACCCTCGTGCAAGGTGAAGTCAACCGTGGTTGGGGAGCCATGACTGATGGTTCCAAGCGCCGTGAGGCGTCCAATTCCGGAGAACCAGTCCTCAAGCGTGCTGACAAGAAAGCCCCTTCTGGCTATTCGATGTCACCCGGCATGTCACCTCCATGGAAGTTAGCCCCTGATGGCCCGATGAGCTCAATGGATGATCCTGATCTTCCTCACGAGACCGGTGAGAGTGTTCAGAGTGAAGGCAAGATCCTGACTTTGCCACAGGGAGTGTCCAGCGTTGAAGTATGGGGGAAAACCCTCATCACCTGCGGTCGCTTCAAGGGAGCCAACATGTCATATGAAGAATTGTGGTCCAATACAGATCCATCCGTTGTGCAGTATAAGCAGTGGTGTTGCGCACGTGCCTTTTCGTTGACCGGCACCATGCGCGACATGTCCCAATATTTGCTTTTCATGAATGGCAAGAGCTCGAGCTCCCAGTTCTCGGATGGTCCAATCATTCCGGGATCGGACGTCCGCCGTCAATACAAGACGGCAAAGTGAAGTGCTCGTTTTGCATCTAAGCCCAACTAGAGCAGCTCCTTTAGAAGATAGAAAATATAGAATATAAGCAGTGTCAATTGGCCATGTCTGCCACCAGTCACTCGCAGGGCTGTCGTGCACTTCCATTCGTCCGAAGGCCATTTCGCGACTCGAGGCATCGCAGGAAAAAGGCCGCCTGGTCCGCAGGGTCGGACACCTTGGTAGGTGTTTTGTGAATAGTATACTATTCAAGTTCCCTTTCCAAGCAGATGACTACGGCCAAATGGCTTATACTCAGGCTTTCTTCGTTTCAGGTGAGAAGATCAGCCTATATCCGTAGGGATCATAGTGTTTGCATGAAAGCCATGTATTTCAACTGCATGTTGAGCTGTTCCTAGTGATCCTGCCCGCCACTGGCAGATCTGTGCGGAGATTCCCGAAGTGCTGCGTTTGGACGACGATGAATCTGAGGTGTGATGCCCCAAACACCTCGGCTGGACATACCTGGACATGAAAAGGTTTTGAAACGTAATGGGAAGCTCGGATAAGTTCCTGCCAGCTTCATTCGAATTGCTGATGTTGATCCTAGACCTTGACAATTTGATATCATTGAAACTCATGGATAAGCACTTTGCTGCACTTGCTGCAGTGTTTGAGTTTTTCGAGTCGAGACTAGACATTTTTCGGAAAGCGAAGGCTGCATGGAGTGAAGAGGCCGAGGAAGAGAAACATGCAGGCACCGACTTTGCGTCCAGGATGACGACGGTTTCTTGGAAAGAGACTGACTTTTTGTACATGCAGCATGCACATGTCATGAATGATAAGTCGAAATATCCCACCAGCAGTAGGTCAAGAAAGGCCTACAGTATTTGCAGGTACTGCGCATCACGGAAGCGAGGTTGCTCAGGTGGGGGCTATGCCTGTGGAAGTCCCGAGTTTTTTTTTTTTTTGCGAACGCATTCCCTCAGTATATACTTGAATCATTCATCGAAGCGTTTCTTTGTGCACCAAACTTTTGATTCCGTAAAGTGAGATCCGGACCTGGCAGGTCAGTACCATGGCCATTGTGCCACGTGAGCATGAAGGCTCAGTATGGAGGCAGAGAAGAACACGCTAAAGCTACTGTTGGATTTGTCAAGGATTTCCCACATTTAAGCTGGGGGGCTTCGACTCGAGCGGTTGTGGAGGCCTCTCTCACCTAGGGTACTACATGGGATGTAGATGGTAGTAGCGACGCCCGGCCCTCCCCCAGGGACATGGTCCACAGGACCTTGACAGTGCCTTAGGTCTTGGACCAGGGGGTAGATCTTTACTCTTCTTCCCTTCGGTGCCTTAGTGCGCTTGGTCCGACCGAGGCCCGGCAACTTGAGACCACTACCTCCAAAGAGGCGGGATCCGTCAGAAAACAAGGCAAATCAAAAAAGGGAAATCGTATGGAATAGCGCATTGTTTTTACTCTTCGTAGATTAGGATGCAAAGAAACAGCAACTTGTCAAGAGTTTTGCCAGGGGCTTTGATCCTTGTGGTCATATTGTTGTCATATTTCCCAGACATTCTTGGTTCTTGGTGCATGGGGGGTGCATTCTTGGTCTCGGTTCATTTGTCATCGCGGCTTCGACCTAGGCTGCCAAGACAGATCCACCGGATGCGACCCTCACACATGCCTGAGACTCAGAGGGAGCCTCCGAAGAACGGTTGCTGTGGTTTCGGCCAGGTCCTTTGTGTAGATGCTTTTGGGACTTTGAGCATACAAAGATCACACGGTGATGCCAGCAATCCCGGCCTTCTCGTGCTGCACACATATCACTTGTCAATAACCTGAAGTCCTAAATTTTAAAAGCTTGGAAGTGCGAGGCTGATGCAGGCTGTGAGCAAAGCAGCGTCGGCGCCCCATCAGCCGCATCAGCTGCTGTGCTTTCATGGGAACATTCTATATATTCATTCCACTCTGCCGCTCTGCGTCCGTGGCCACCACAAAAAATGGGGGCCTGAAGCCTCTACACCAACATTTGTGGGAAACTCATGATGAAAACAGGAACTGCGGGAAGCCAGCTGTAGTACCTTGTCTTGCACAATGTCTGTGAAGAGGGTGGATTGGTTTGTACCAGGTCATGAAGATGAAACATCTAGAATCTACGTCGTGGAAGCAACTGAGACATCGTCCAGTCAACCAAGGATAAACTTGATTAGGTTCAATCCCATTCTTTACGTTCTTGATCAAGCATGAAACAAAAGATGGCTGACAGATCAATCTTTGGGACGCACATGGCGCATGCATGAACCCTGTGTGATTGTCGCTCAACTCCTGACCCAAGCTGCAATTGTTGGCAGGTCACCAGACAAAGACGAGGCGACGTCACCAAGCGAGCGACGGTGTTTGGACTCATGATACCAGCAAAGCAAAGCTGTTTAGACTCATGGCGATCTGCATTCTCTTAGGATCATATGTCTAAATAAACCTCAGACATATGTCTCTGATATTTGATGTGTTTCTGTTTTGTTTGGATGCAATTAAGTTCTGAGTTCATCACTTCCCCAGAAAACACTTGTAGCCCAGTAGAGATCTAACCGAACCAGGCCATCGTATCTGCGAAGAACGCGGATGATGGCCTTGACAGCCAAGACGTGCAGGAGACGTGCGGGAGGCAAAGTGAGTGAGTGAAAAGCTCAGGAGGTCACATTCACAACGGACAACGGGGTGCTCATTCAACAACCAGGACATCCTCCATATCGGTATATCCTCCATTTTTGTGTTTGAGCAAGACGCAGTAGCACAATGACCCCTGCTATACTTTCTCGTTCCATTGTGAGATCTATGATGATTTATGTCCATGAGTCCATGACCTTTGTTTGTTCCTTTTGGTTAGCCAGTTGGCCAGTGTTCTGACCTTTATGAACATCCACTATGCCGTTCTGCTGGCGACAGGACAAACTTGCTTCGAAGGCCAAGGTAGCTCAACCTGCTGGGACTGGATGCACCTGCTCACTCTCGGTCATTTAGCAATCTCTAACGTTGAGACCGGCGCATCTCCCCAAAGACCAAATATCTCAAAGCACTCATCCGTTGAGACCGCCAGAGTTTTATCCTTTCTTTTCTTTACCTCGAAAAGATCCCTTGTTCGCAGCAGGCAGAAGTGTCACCAGGGCTACAAGTTGAAGTTTCTATTTTGGAGCTACTAGTAGCTTCTTGCTCCTAGTAGCGATGCCAAGCCCCTAGTAGCGTCCTTGCTCCTAGTAGTAAGGCCAGGAGCCCCTAGTAGCTTCTTGTTAGAGATTCTTTGTTTAGGCTGCATTTCATTCAAGGTGCTTCCTGAAAGAAACATTACAGGTTGATCAACTCACACGGTTGACGATCGTCCTCGGCGGGTGCAGGCAGAACGCGATGTGTTGCGATTGCAGCTCCAAGAGGAAATTGTTCCTGTCCCAGGTGCCTCCGCAACTGGACATCAGGGCATCAAGTGTCTGATTCCCAAAGTCTGAGTAGTCCCAGATGTGAGTGGGCATCGAAACTGGAAACTTTGACCATGTCACATCTGGGCCACTTGGTTGAAGAATCGCTTTCTGCCTTTACAATGAAGAATCGATTTCTTGCAACTGCCTTGCCTTTGTCACTTCAGAGGCAAAACCTCAAAGGCGGTTTCTTTTTTCTCCCGCCCGATGGCCAGGCAGTATCTACTCCCGCTCCATTGTTCCTGGACCAGGCAGCTTGGGCTGCTACTAGTACAGGTAAAGTCAGACAGTAGGTGAGCCACGTCAAAAACCTGCATGAAGAGTTTGTGTCATGCAGTTGTCCTGACATACTCCCGCGAAAGGCAAAACTCAAGTCGCGAAAGCTTCGAGAAAGCTACTGCGGAAGACATTATAAACACATGGCTGCGAAAGGAATATGCGAAAGGACATTTTGGATGACATGTTTAATATGTGTCAGTCGCCCTGTTAAGATTTTTTGCGAAAGGTTACCCGAAAGGGCTGAGCGAGTAGTGTATGCCCGCGAAAGGCAAAGCTGTTGTCGTGAATGGACCGCGATAGCCTGTTGCGAAAGCGGGCCGGGATTACAAAGCCAGTTCCAATAGGTTTTCGACACAGCTCAGGTGGCAGCTTGTTCTTTCAAAATGAAAACATGTTCTTGTTCTGTGAGGCTACTACGGAGCCCCGAAGGCGCCAGGAGAATCGAAGAAGGAGATTTTGGACGTTTGTTTTCAGTGCAGTCACTGCCGCTGCTGCAATTGTTGGTCATAAGATCTGATCTGAAGTGCAAACGTGAACGGGAGATAGCAAGAGTGATCCACGGGCACCATGGCTTAAGAAATGGTGAGCCCAAAAGGCATGCCTTTGCAGCATTCCAGGAAGCAGCCAGCTTTCGGCCGAAGCTGTGTCCTCAGTCACCAGGAACAGTCGATGAGTACTTTGACCTTAAATTGCCAAGTAGTAGGGCCGAAAGTGGTGACCAATGCTAATTTTTGTGCCTTCTAGAACGAAGTTCAGAACATACCTTCACAACAAGGCCTCAACTTCTGTATGAACTTGAGGCAAAGTTGCTGTATAGATCGAAGTACAGTAGCTTCATAGAGTAGGGCGATAGCTATTTATTGACACGGGCTCTGTGCCAAGGGGTGTTAGCGCCTGGGATCAGCTGCGATTGAACGCCCAGTGGCTGCCCCTTGGCGCACCCAAGAGGCAGTAGAGGTCACACACACAGTCTGACTTTGTCAATAAAGGCATACTGCAACTGCAACGGTTTAAGTTTCAGCTTTTGACATTGGGTCTATTGTCCATGCGAGAAGTCATAGGCTCTCACTATCTCATTTGGCACATTGGTCTAGGCGTGCGAGAGAAACCAGGGACGAGACTGATCCGAACAGCTCAATCTTTCGAAGTGGTTTGGTGCAAGCTCAGATGTTCATGTCCAAAGTTTGCTTGAAGAGTATGATGAGTTTGGGACAAGCATGAGCTGCATACGCCAAATGTTCGACATGATGTGTGTGGTAGAGCTCACAGCAGACCCATGACCCTGATTTGCC